TCATTTTTTTTAATTTGACAATCTAGGGAAAAGAGGTCAGTGCCCCTGACAGTCAGGTGTTGCTGGTTTTAAAAATGACTGCAGCACACTGTTTTATCCTAAGAATAAAGGTAAAGCTGCAAAGCCATTCAAAAGTAGTCAACTTAATCACCAGGTTTTCTTTTTTTTTTTAAACTAATCTAACTACTATTGGTCAGGCTGATTCATATTAGAAACTTCAATTCAGTTATAGATGGTATATTGATTTTTTAACCTTATTATATCAAATTTAAAATCATTCATTACTCAGCCCTGTCTCAGTAGATCAGCCATGGTCTCATGGGGTAACATTCTGTGGGGAAAGAGCGACATCTGCAGGAGAACTGTGTCACTACATGGTAGAACCCACCAGCATGCTCAATACTCAACTCGTTAGAACACAGATCACACACTCGGCAATTTGCCTAGCATATAATAAAGTCTCAGGGAATGATTATTGTTCCTTGCGTGATGGATGGTAGTGGCATATGCTCTTACACTGTATTTCTTGAAATTAAAAACAAAAAGCCCAAGGAAGGAAGCTACCGGCACTTATTCAAATTATTTAGATTATTGTTCTGTTTTTCATAGGAACCCTTCTGGGGAGATGACAATCTATCTTGTTTTTTTAAGAGGTTATCTCTCGAGGTAGTTACTGACTCCTGCTCTTGGCCATTCTGCAAGTTGATGTTTGTTTAGAATTCTGGGCCTTGTTGGTGGTAATCCTGTTCCTGACAGCTTTTAAGTGCTGAAAATATGGTAGTGTTCTTAGGGAACACAAATTCAAAAACACATTTCCTTCACTTAGTTAAACTGTAGCAGATGTGCATACATTACTCAGAAATAAGAAATTAGAAAATAGGGTGTATCCTAAGATGACATTTTCAATGGGGTATAAGTTGTACGAGGTTTGTCCAGAAGGAATCCAGTCATGTAATATGAAAAATAGAGACATTTATTGAGGAAGATACAAGATACAAGAAACACTGTACATAGGACGATGACGCCTCAGTCCTCTTCAAAGTAAGCACCTTGGAACTTCGCACAGTTCTCCCAATCACGCTCACCTCCCTGTCCTACTTGCCTGGATCTCATTTTAGTTTTGGGAAAAGCCAGAACTCACAGGGCACCAAATCTGGGCTATACTGGGGCTGAGTCATCTGAGCGATTTGATTTCTTGACAAAACCCTCTGCAAGAGATGTGATGCATGAGCAGGCAGGTTGTCCTGATGAAACTGCCAATCACAAGTTGCCCATAGCTTCAGACTTCTAAGTCATTTGAATAGTTTCACAGAGGAATGTTCACACTTAACACCAAATTTGATGCAGACTCATGGCTCCACACACTTGGTCATTTTGACTGCCACGGCCACACAGTGCCCATGCTCACTCAGTGTGTCTACCCCCCACTGACCAGTACAGTGAAGACCATCATTGTTAGAGCATGTGCATTGCAGTCCACTCTCCTTAACTGATAAGTTACACTGATGTCATGCAAACTGTTCTCATTATATTAAGAATGGCTGGGCTTTTCCTGGCTATTATTATATTACATAAAATCTTAAGAAGTCCCATTGGCAGACTGCACCAACTTCCCTTGAATATTTCCTTGGATCTGATTGGTTGTTTTTTTTTTTTTTTTTTACTTTCTCTTTCAAGTGTCCTGGACAAAAATTTATCTGCATCCACCTCTCACCAATATGAACAAAATGTGTAAATAAGCCCTGGAAATTTATTCCTCAAGAAATTAAAAATGCTACAGGATAAAGGAATTGAACCATATTGATGTCTTTTCTAAGGCCAGCACTTTGTACATGGTTTTAGTTTGATCCTCTCAGTAGCTCTGTCAAATCGTTTGGATCATTTAGAACAATTTCCATCTAACAGATGACACTATGAAGGCCAAGATGCTGTAACTTGCGAGTAAGTGATGCTGTGCAGATTCAGCCTCCTGTCCATCTGGGTCTACGGCACACGCTCCTCTCATGAGAACTGAAGAGTCTTCAAAAGTGCAGGTTGAGAGTTTCAAATGAAAAGGTTAGTATGGAACAGAGGTGATGCTACCAAGGCAATACTCTGATGGAGCGCCTTAAAACAAAACACCGTAATTGAGTACCATAAAATGTGTTTTACATTGAAAGGACTTATGGTTATATGTTTAATGTACATTAAGTGATTAACAAACTATGTTTATGATTTGTGGGGGCTTTTAAATGTAATTTTCAAAATGCAGCTATTTGGAGATTAGATGTTATAATGCAGTGCCTGTACCTCATTTGTGAGGAATCAGACCTCACTACTGCTGTAAATACAGTTTAGGCTAAATGACCCTGACTCCTAGAGTAATGAGGAAGCTTATCACATTTAAGCTTTATTGATTTCTGCTCTGTAGTATGTTTCAGTCTGTTTAGAATACCATTCTTGTGACTAATATGATTGGCTGTGCAATTAGTAAAAATAGATTTGTTTGATCCTAATAGTCACCCTAAAGATTTTGATGTAACACTATTTGTTCATCCCTTTGTTCATTAAAAATTTATTGTAAAACAGTTCAAAGCTCTGTATAAAATAAAGCATGCAATTACCAGATGACCATGACCCAACAATTGCATTTTGGCACTTTTATCTCAGAGAAATTAACATTTATGTTTGCACAAAAACCTGTACACTAGTGTTCATAGCACCTACATTTTATAACAGTCCAGCACTGGAAATAACCCAGATGTCCTTCAACAGAGAACTGGTTAAACAAATAGTGGTGCATCCATACCTTGGAATACTATTTGGCAACAAAAAGCAATGAACTATCTCTATAAACAGCATCTTGAATGAATTTCCAGGGAATTGCAGTCAGTGAAAAAAGTCAATTCTGAAAGGTTACACAGTGTATGATTCAACTCATATAACATTCTTGATATGACAAAGTTCTAGAAGTAGGGAATAGGTTAGGGTTTGCCAGGGGTTAAGGAGAGAGCAGAAGGAAGAGTGAAGCAGGTATGGCTATAAAAGAACACCAGGAGAGATCCTTTCCATAATGAACCGTCTGCATCTTGACCATATCAGTGTCAGCATCATGGCTGTGATACCATCCTGCAGTTTTGCAAGACGTTATCACTGGGAGAGACTGGGTAAAAGGTACAAGGGAGCTCTACTATTTCTTACAACTGAGTCTACCCCAAAATAAAACATTTCATTTAAAAAAAATGCTGAACACCTAAGGTACTGGGAATTAAAAACAGAATAAAGACTCCTTAAAAGACATTAAAGATCTACTACAAGAAAGAGGTACTTCCACCGTAGTGTAGTCAGTTCAGTTGTACAGTCTGCATCACTGCTGAAGGGACAGAGAGGAAAAGCACTGACCCTACAGCTGGGATAAGGGGATACAGAGAGTTGCCCAGAAAAGTGGGTACTGTAGCAGGGACCTGAAGGTTAATGTTGATAGAAGTTATGCTGGCAAAGAGAGAAGAGAAAGGGACAGAAGGCATTCCTGAAAGAAGAAGCAGCATTTACAAAGGCCAGAAGACTGGAAATCATGTGGTGTGTTCAGCAAACTATGCATAGTAGGCCAGTATGTAGTGTGTGTAGCGGGTAAGGGAGTTGACAGGGACAAGGCTCACCTCCACCCTAAGGCAGGGGGGTGTCAATCTGGGAGGTATATTGTTTTAAAGGGTGTCCTGTAGGGTATATCCAGACATTATAGGTTTGTCTCTGTTTATAGCGATACATAATATCTAGGTTTTAATGTACGCTACTGTTTTTTAAGGGGCCTAAGGGATTGAGATTGAATTGTGGGTTGAAGTTGGGGACCAGAAGTAGCTAGTGAAATATAGTAAGAATTTAAATGACAGCTACAACAATAGGAATGAAGAAATGGTGGAGTTGAGAGGCTTAATGGAGTCAGAATCCAGTAGCCTATGATGACTGGTCGAATGTGAAAGGGGAAGATGAGGGAAGAAGCTAGTTAATGACTGCAAATGAGTAGAACTCGGATGCTGCTCCCCAGCCCAGGGCAGACACGCTCTTTACATCTCAAATCATCTCCCCAGAAGCCACTACTTACCCACTGAAAAAGCAACTGTGGGCCTGAGAATATGAATCTAGAACAATGAACTGCAAGACATTCTAATAAAATTAATGAATTACAAAAATATTCCCTGCGTATAATTTATAAGGAAAAGAAAATTAAATTAACAATAGACTCTGCTACAACAATGCTTTATGTTGCTGAAAAATACATTAGTATATTTCAGATACTCCTGGAAAGAACATCCAAGTCAAGGATATTATATCCACAAAACTAACCCCTCACTAGGAAGGACCCAGACAAACTTTTATCAACATATAAGAGCTCAAAGAATATAGTTCCCCATTTCCTAGAGAACAAGCAGCAGACAACTAAAACAAGTCAAAGATATTAACATAAGGACTAGTAACGAGTATTAAATAGTTACTTGTTTAGAAATAAATGAGGGTTAAAAGAGTATACAGTACATAATGAAGAGCTATGTGATCTAATAGTGTAGATATAGTACAATTATTTAAAAATTGGAGAGAGGGGACAATGGGTATAGGATAGGTAAAAAAAAATTAACTGTTTTTGGCAATCATTAATCGGTGGTGGTGATATCAGAACTGTAATCTGATACTGTGTGTGTAATGTGGGATAAAAAAATACATACCATGTATCACAGAAATGTACAGTTGAAACCTATATAATCTTATTAACCAATGTCACCCCAATAAATTTAATTTAAAAAGTAATTATGTGATGTTATAATTAGATCATCCATGCATCCTTGATAAGCAGGATTCTCAGTGACAACCCCATAGCACTGAATTTTAATTGAAAATATCACTATGAACTCACATAGCATCTAATCTTTAAATATAAATATTTCAATGAGTATACCTAGCAACCAGATTGTAGATTTGAAATACCGTTTTGTGTTAAAGAAAACCAAAATGGCTGAACAAATTACCACCGACTTAGAGGCTTAAGACAACACAGATTTATTTTCTCAGAGTTCTGCAGGAGAGAAGTCTGAAGTCAGAAGGTCACCAGGGCCATGCTTCCTCTGAGAGCTCTGGGGGATGAGAATTCCTGTCCCGTCCAAGCTCCCGGTGTCTCCCAGCACTCCTGGGTTCCCAGCTGCAAAACTCCAAGGTCTGCCTCTGTCTTCGCATGCCCTTGCCTGTGTGTTTGTCTTATTCTCATCTGTCTTTAGTAAGGACACATCATTAGACTTAGGGTCCCACCCAATCCAGGCTAAACTCATCTTGAAATCTTTTACTTAACTAAATCTGCAAGGACCATTTTTTCCCAAGTAAATCATATTCACAGGTTCCAGGAGAATATATATTAGGGGGCCACCATTCAACCTTCTAAACCTTCTTCGACCACTGGCCCCCTAAAATTCATGTCTAACTATCATGCAAAATGCATTCACCCATGACAACATTACCAAACGTCTCAGTCCATTATAGCAGCAACTCTGAAATCTCCTCTAAATGTCATCAGCTCACAGTCCCAAATCTCACCTAAATCCGGTCAGGGTGAGACATCCTCTGGAGAGGATCCATTTTGTGACAAAATTCTTCTCTATCTGTAGACCTGTGAAACGAGAAAACAAGTCACCTGTTTCCAAACACAGTGGTTGGACAAGCACAGGGCAGACATTCCCTTTGCAAAAGAGACATTGGAGGAAACCAGAGAACCACCAGTCCAAGCAAGTTCCAAATCCAGCAGGACAAATGTCGTTGGGTTTCAAGGCCTGAAAATAATCTTCCATGGCCCAGTGCTCTGCCCTCTGGCCCTAGGACAAGACTCTGCCCACCTCTGCCACTTGGAGACATTCATCCTTTTTCTTAAATGGTAACACATGTTTGCAACCAAGTAACCAAGTATCAGCCAGTTCCCCACCTACAGAATTGCCAAAAAGCCTTCCTTCATTTTGAACTCTCTCTGTCCCCTTTAGTCCAAGCTGTCATGTTTCTAGTAATACAGCATTCTCAAATACCTTGTGGGCCTCCTGTGTATGTTACGGAGGTCTACTCCATCACCCCAGAGGGTCCTCCACAGATCTTTCCTGGATAGCGCCATTGTTATTCCAGTCTTCTGCAGAGCTGTTTGAGTAAACCCGTAAATCCCTAATCTCTTAAGCCACATCCTTGATCCTCCTCTCTAGACCATAGTTTTCTGGCAATAAACTTCCCAATTTTAGCATTCTTTGTGATCTGGATAGTGGGAGAACCTCCCAATTCACCAAGTGCTTATGTTTTTTCTTAACAATTTCTTCCTCCCATTTACTTCTTTCCTGCACATTTTACTAAAAGCAGCAAGGAGAAACCAGGCTCCTCCTTCTACACTTTCCTTAGGAATCTCCTGAGCTAAACACCCAAGTTCATCCCTTGTAAGTTCTGCTTACACCCAACACTAGAACACAATTCAGCCAAGTTTTCTACCACTTTATAACAAGTGGTAGAATCCTCATAACAAGGATTGCCTTTCCTCTGTCTACTATCACGATGTCCCTCATTTCCTTCTGGGATCTCACCACAAGAGCCTTTTACATTCTACTAAGATTCTGTTCATGACTATTTGTGTATATGAATGTACATACATGCATACAGATTCATTCTCTAAAATGACAGCTTTCTCTACTACACTCTTCACTTCCTCTTAGGCTCTCATCAGAATGCGGTTAACATCCAGATTTCTACCAACCCTCTCCTCAAGGAAATCTAGGCTTCTTTTTCTATCATTTTGCCTCAACATTGTTCTAGCCTCTATCCATCACCCAATTCCAAAGCCACTTCCCATATTTTTAGCTTTCATTACTGCAGTATCCCCTTCACAAAACCAAAATCTGTATTGGTTGCCTAGGATTGCCACCAACTTGGTAGCTTATTCTCTGAGTTCTGAGAGTCAGAAATCTGCAGGGCAGGCCACTCTCACTCTGAATTTTTGGGGGAGAATCCTTCCTTGCCTCTTTCAGTTTATGGAGGCTCCATGGGTCCTGTGGCTTGTGGTAGCATACCTCCAATCTCTGCCTCTGTTTTCACATGGCCTTCTTCTGTGCCTGCATGTTTTAAATCTTCCTCTCCTTTCTCTTAAAAGGAAACCATCAGTCATTGGATTCAGAGCCCACACTAAATCCAGGAGGACCTGGAGATCTTTTAATTACCTAAGCAAAGAGCCTATTTGCAAATAAAGTTACACGAACATATACTTCTGAATGCTGCAATTCATCCTACCTGCAATTCATCCTACCACAAGGGATTTGGGGGGGGGGGGGAAGAATTACAAATATGGAGCAGTAAGTGCACACGATGAGCCAGGAACATCTTGACACATCAGATAGAAAGAAGCTACCAGACACTACAAAGGTCAGGTCCTAAGAACTCAGGAGCCAATTTGAAGAGGCTCCCATTGTCCAAAAATGAAACAGTTTGGGCATCAATGAAGACAAGAAATACAATGTTTTGAAAATGATCAAATATCTTTAAATTCATGAGTTCTAAGTAATTTTTAATTGGGTTTGTTATCTCACGAAGATAACAGAATACCAACTTGCTATCTTGAAACCTAGATAAATAAAGTGAAAGAATCAAGCATATATCTTTCTTTTCTATATGAACTGTGCCACTGAGTAATCGAGTATTAGATAAGGAGTATCTCCTTGTGAAAATTATTCCAGATAACATATGGAACAAATGGAAGACTTTTACTATCACCGTTTTGCAGCCACAGTGAATTAATGGATCTAGCCATTGAACATGAATAGCACGTAACATCAAGAAGAACAAAAATCAGACATTATGTGCCTCCAGGTGAAAGACTGACCAATAATCTCTCCAAAGGGACCAGGTCTCCGGATCAAGGGGTCTGATCAAGCCTCTGAATCCTGTTGCCAATTTGCAGAAAACACAGAGGCCAGAGTGACACATGGAACTGCATAGGGATTCTGCAAACATCAGAACCCAGACTATGACGCTCTATGACTTCTTTCACATGTAAATTATAAGCAAGGACAGAATTAGGAGAATATGTACATTTAAAAGAAAGATATATGGGACTTTTAAAAATGGGCAGTCTAAAACTACTATGGCAAGAAACGAACACTTGGATTTCAGAACCATCAGAAACAAAAGAGGGTAACTTTTATAAGTTAAAAAGTCCAGAAAAGAGAGTTTAGTGAAGGGAGTGGTCAAAATGTCAACGCTGCTGAGATTGGCCAAGATGGCTATCTAAAAGATGTCTTATTCATGTTTGTTGTCTTAGTGTCTAGGAAAATGTGTGGCATATAGTCAGAGCTCACAAATTTCCAGTGTGGCCATTCCAATACTTGAGAATCTCACTCCAACACTTTTGGAGTTGCAAAAAATGCAAAAAGAATATACAAGAAATAAGGGAGGGAGGGAGGGAGGGAGGGAGGGAAGGAGGGAGGATGGGAAGGAAGAAGAGGGAAAAAGGACAAAAATAGCTCACTCACCCAAATGCTCCATGCAGCCCCCATGTCTCTCCATTCCAGCTCACTGGAATTATCCTATAAAACAAGGCACAGTCCAAGTTTTCCCAGACTGCATTGGCCTGTAGGAGATAGCAACAGTGAAAATTCAGTTTCCTGGATCTTGGGCCCATGTGAGAATGCAGGAGTTCCAGGTCCTTGGAGGACTCCCTCCCTGCCCTGCTCCCCACCACTGCAAGTGTCTCTAAATCCCAAGATGTGTCTCACACGTGCTCATGATGGGGTGCTGCTATTTTCCCCTATGTCTTACTGGGTGATCCAGCTCCCCATCCTGTCACCAAAAGGACATTGAGGTCTTGGCTGGTGTGGCTCAGTTGGTAGGAACCTCATGCCATAATCAAAAGGTTTGATTCCAGGTCAGGCCACATAACTAGGTTGCAGGTGTGATCCCTGGTCTGGAAGTGGACAAGAGGCAACCAATGTCAATGCTTCTTTCTCACTTCAATGTTTCTCTCTGCCTTCCTATCTCTCTAAAAGCAATGAAAAAAAGTGTCCTCAGCTGAGGATTAAAAATAAATAAATAATAAAATTTAAAAGAAACTAAAATATAAAAAGGGGCATTGAGGTCTCCTGCCAGATGCAGCTGTTTATTCCCCACCTATCACCAGGTGCTGGAGGCCCCAGCAGGTGTCATTCCTCCACCAACCATGCCACTGAAGTCATCCGTCAAGCATCATGACTAAATAGCCAGAGCCCTCCAAGGGCCAAAATTCCATGGTTGTCTGTGGGGCACTGTGCCCTCTCCCCTTTGTGCTGTATCATCTGGTAGAGGCGCCCAAAGCGGTATTGCATCCACTTCCATTGTCTTATAGACCTGAGTGGAAGAGCTCCTTCAATTTTTTACTAACAGACCTCTTTGTCTCTCTAGGATTCAAACATGGATTGTTGCTCTATCTTTTCATATTTATCCATTCACTTCATAAACGGGGCCAAGTGTTAAAGAGTGCTTACTTTAAAAATTAAGCAGAAATGAACTAGAGAGGACTGAAATGGGTTGTAAATTATTTAAGCCAGCCCAGAAGTCAACAGGTTTCACGGGCATATTCTTGACAGTCAAAGCAGCCGCCATTCTCAGTTCTTTACTCCAGTGTCCCACCATTATCATAACTCAGCTACTTCCTCTGTCTCTGATTATCTCTGGGCATCTTTCTGCTTCTGTTTCAAGTACCAGGCTACAGGTTCTCTTTCCACACCTCCAAGTCACACTCCGCAGAAAGAAATTAATTGGTTAAGCTAATTACCACTGGTCTTGTATGGAAATTCATGTCAGGACACCTCATGAGCCACTGATCCATCTCTGAATCAGCAGTGGTCACAAAGTAATGTCACGTGGTCCCAGAAGGGCTCTATGAGAGTGGCAGGCACTCTCGGGCATGAATTTCCTCCACTAGGAAATGAGAATTCCTGTACATAGTGAGTCAGGGAACACACTCTGAATGGTTTCAGTGTTTTAAATGTGTTGGAGCTTTCTCTATGGCTCAGTGGATGCGTGATTTTGGTGAATGTTCCATGTGCATCAAGTTTCCTGTATTTCCAACTAAGGGCTAACCTTAGCTTAGAAATGTCTAAGTTCCCTTCTGACATTGAGTGTGTGTGATTCGAAGCAAAAGTAAGCAACCAATGAGCAGATAGCTCAAGTTCTTATTTTTCTTCCAGTTAAGGTCCCGGTTTTTCAAGATTTAACAACTACTGCTTCTAGTTAAAAACAGAAAGAAAAAACAAAAGCATTTGTATTCCCTCGCGAAGTTCTGTGTTCCCCTCACCGACAAGCGGAGACGCAGGCCGCTGCCCTGCCGCGGTGTTCAAGCAGCCCGCGAGTCCCGGGTCGGACTCACCGGCCCGGAAACGCTGGCACACCGCCGCCCCAACAAGGGCGTTGCCGGCGACGGCCAAGGGGCGGGGCCCGCCGCGGCGCGCTGACGTCAGAGAGGGCCGCGACGCTGCCGGGCAGCCGCGGCGCTGACGGCGGTAGTGGAGGAGTGCTCGGAGCCGGGCCTGGGCAGCGGCGGCGTGGTAGGAGCTCGCGCAGCGTCCGCCGACTCCGGGGCGGGGGCTGCGGCAGCGAAGCCCCCTCCCCGGGGAGGCGGGGTCTGGGGGAGCTCCCCGGTGGGGGAGCGGCGACGCCGGGGAGGATGCATCAGAAGCTGCTGAAGAGCGCGCATTACATTGAGCTGGGCAGCTACCAGTACTGGCCGGTCCTGGTGCCCCGCGGCATTCGCCTGTACACTTACGAGCAGATCCCCGTGTCCCTCAAGGACAATCCGTACATCACCGACGGTTACCGGGCTTACCTGCCCTCCAGGCTGTGCATCAAAAGGTACAGTCTGGCCGCCTCCGCGGGGCGCGCCCGTGAGACGCGCCGGCGGCCCCTCCTCCTCACCTACCCCGTTTTTGTCTGGTCTCTCCGCTGCTTTCCCCGCTGTTTTCCTTGCTCATCTTTTTCATCCTTTTCTGCCACCTCTCCTCTCTCGTTATCTTCCTTCCTCCACCGCCGGAATAATAATGATAACTATTATCTTGATTACCAACTCTCTTTTGGCGCTTTGCTGTTTACAAAGGGCTTTTACATCTTTTATTCCTTTTGGTGCCTGCTAGGATGTACGTTGGACACCTCACTGACAGTGCTTGGGCCACACTTGCCCCTCTGTATACCTAAGCTTTATTTTTAGAGCAACCCTATAGAAATTCGGGCCTTTGGGGTCAGGTAAATGCATGTAGAATAGGAAACAAGTTCACATTGCCATGTATATATGGGGATATTTAGAACCTCCTGACTGATTCATTCGGTAGGTACTGTGGAGCCCTTACTGTGTCAGGGACTTTAGCCAGGTGGTGCAGAGTACAGCAGACAGGACTCTTGTTTCGTGACACACATTAAAAAGATAATTACACTATTACATAACAACCATTGTGAAAAAACGCTGTGCAGGAAAAGCACGTTAGCAAAGAGATCCTATAAAGGACACTGCCCTCCTAGAGCACTATAGAAGCAGCTCTGAATTTCTCCATCATCTAAATCTTTGAAACCAAAAGTACCTTGAAAGCCCGGGGTTTAAAAAAAACAACAAAAATTCTTAGGAGAGCTAAATTAATTTTTAACAGTCTCTGTTAAAATTCACTGTATGTACTTAAATACTGGATCCTACTTCAAGAGAATTAATACAGATGTTGGCTAGCTCCAGGTCTTTATAGAGACAAACCCCAGTGCTGGAATGTGGGCTGTTGAATAGCTCAGGCAGCAACCACATGTCTGATTCTTGCTCTTTTCAGCATGGTCTTTACCCACTTCCTTTGCCCCGTCTTGAAAGTAGTATTTCCAAGACTCACAGTCACAAGGTAACATCACTGTCCATCCCTTCTTGGCCCACCAGATTTCACAGTTTGAATTCTAAGTGATCTTTTCCTCCCTAATGCCTCCTGTACATAAGTTACTACACAAGAAGTCAGAGCTGGGCCCTGCTGTGTATGTAAATTTCCACAAGGTCTGAACAGGCAGTGATTTGCCTTAAATATTTTATACCCACCTAGCAGTGGTCCTCTGCCTTCTGATATTAAATTCCAAACATTATGGATAGAGAAATGAAATCTATGCTTTAGATCTTGGGCTGCTGAGTCAAAAAAATAGTTGGCTCTCCAGATCTGCCACTTAACAGCTGTGGGACCTTGAACAAAAGTTAACCTCTCTGAGCCTTATTTTCCCTATTTGCAAAAGTGAGGATGATCACAGCAGCTACTTTAGAAAGTAATGTGGTTTAAATGAGATTATATATGTAAAACCCTAACAAGCTTAAACACACAACAAATCCTACCTTATCATCATGATCACTGAGTTCAGAGATGAACAGATGATGATGGAGATGATTATTGATTTTGAAGCAGAACCTGGGCCTAGCTACTCATAGAATAAGAGTATGTCCTTTACTGGGGATATTCTTCTAAGTGCTCTCTTCCTCCAGCTTGGTCTTCCCAGTTTCAGCTGTCGCCCTCTCTTTTAGCTCTCAGGCATGACCAGGACAGATTTTAGAAATGGGAAGTGTTGTGTCACACTGTTCTGCCAGTACTCTGTTACTTGGAAGGAATATGCCAAGATTGTGTCTCAGTTCAGTTAATCAGGTTATACTGAGTTTTGCAAAATGAAAAGTTGTAAAGCAATAGGCAAGAATATAGTATTGTCAACACAGACCTGTAGCTAGATGTGTTCTCTCACATTCCTGCATCTTATCCACCCCCAGCCGCAACACACACAGTATAAGTAGTCTTTATACTTGATGCTTGTAAAGAATAAAGCCTGAAATTCATGACACAGGATTCACTTTATTCTTGGCGATCATTTGGTCATGTGAGACCCTGCTGGTTTTGATGTGGGAAAATGAGAGCCATGGTGACCGCTGCCCATTCACAGTAGGTTAGGGGTCTGTGTTAACACTTACTGATAAGGATCCCGAATCAGTGAAAGTCAAAGGCCTTAGTTTAGAAAGATGGTATTTTGCAAGAAAAATGCAAGCAACAGTATTTTGATTTTTTTGTCATGGTATCACCTTTCAACAATCAGAGGAGTTCTATCCACAGCAGAAGAAACATTTCACAGAATTAAGGATGGAGCTGGGAGGGACTTGCAGCAACGTCTAATCCATCTTCCTTGTTCTATAGACGAAGAATCTGAAGCCACAGAGGTTCAGTGACTTGCTCATGACCACAGAGCTAATTTGTTACAGAGGAGGTGAAAGGACTGCAGGCCTTTCGACCCGTGGTCGGGCTGGTACATGAGCCACTAGTGCTGCCAGATCTATTTAAACCAGTCAGTCAGCATTTTGAAAGACAGCAAATAGTACCGATATTAAAAGTAACCTGTTGTTTAAAATGAACATGCCACCTGAAAAATGGTATGGTTTCAAAATAATCATAGCCCAGGGTTCAGCATGCCTGTCTTATTCCAGTGAATCAGTTTGTATTCATTCTGTATTCTTTCTCCTTCTCTCAGGTCCAGTTAATTTTGTATTTGCATTTAGTGAATACTAAAAAATATTTTAAGTTTGTGCCTAACTAACATTTAGAAGGTTTTCAGAGATTTATTATTGAACACCAGTTTTAATCTGCACACTTATTTCTGTTGACATTTAGCATCGAATTTGAGCAATACACTGGGCTTAGAACAATGGTATTGTAAAGATGGATGGTGCCGGCCATCAGGGAGTGAATAGACTGGCGGGTGACATGGAATTTATCCATGGATAATTATAATGGTCAGTATTGTAGAACAGGTGGTGAGCACCAAAAGACCTCCAGCATCCTAAGATCGGTCATGAAGAAACTTGAAGAGAGATTAATCAGACTAAATGATGTATCAGATTTAGGAAGGCTGTTGTGGCTAAGGGCTTAAAGTAACAAGTGTTAGGTAACCCAGAAAAATTGTCCCTACCCTTCTAAATGCTGATGGTGAGTGAGCCACTTTGATTCTGAACTGCACGGTTTTTTCTATTTGTTTGTTTTCCAGTTTGTTTATTTTATCTAATGAGACAGTAAACATCTGGAGTCATCTGCTGGGCTTCTTTCTCTTCTTCACACTGGGAATATATGACATGACATCTGTGTTACCTTCGGCAAGTGCCTCCAGAGAAGATTTTGTAATTTGTTCTATTTGTCTTTTCTGCTTCCAGGTAAGTCATTTCACAAACACTGTTACTGGTAAAGAGAACTTGAGTCAGAGAAGCTTGGGCAGGCGACCTTACTTCGTACCTACCACTTGCTTTAAAAGCCCCAGAATAGCATATAGGTTAGCTTACTCAATTTTATAGTATACACACAAAAAGTATATTCTATGAAAGTGTATTTGGATGTTATTATTGGAGTATATTTGAAATCTAGTAAGTTCTAAAGATTGAGAACATTTCTTTGTTTCCTTTTCTCCTTCCCATTTTAGACATCTCTCCTTTAAGATTAATACAAGTGTAGGAATCTCTGATTGTACTGTTTTTGCTGAAGTAGAATACTAGTGTCTGCTTAAAACTTGAGGACTTCTCATCTTTTTCCTATTTATATGTGTGATTTTTGTATTCATGGTTTCCATACCATCTCAGCTGTAATGTCTTGTCTTGCTGGTATTGACCTTTTCTGTTCCTTTAATGTTAATTTCCTTTGGTCCTTTTACATTTGCCTGATTTCAAACACTACTTCACTTTTTCCTCCTTCTGCTTGTATCTGTTAGTTTTTTAGCAATTTCCTTCAAAAGTCTATTAAATACAGCCTTTAGAAGTTGCATTAATAGTTTTCAAACAGATACTTCTAAAAAAGAAAATAATGTGAATGAAAATCCTGTTGAGATTTTTAAATTTAAAAACGTTCACAAAGTACAGAAAATCATGACAAATGAAAAGAAAGTGGTGTCACCCCGCCCCCTCCAAACATAGGCCAGCACTACCTGCAGTTAACCTGTTGCTCCTCGATTCGGAAGGTCAGTCTGTAAGCAGGCTGCGCGGGTGTTGCTTTTATCATTTAATTTCAGATCTTCACCTTTTGACTCTAATTAAAACTTTGGAATTAAATGATTAAGAACCATATCAGAAAAATCTCCCTCCCCCCGCCAACACTTTTTTTTTTTAGAATTCTAGTTTCTAGAATAATATTTTACAGTTCTTTGAGACAAAGAATACTCTGTATTTTTACATTATTATTAGAAAACTAACTTTTAAGTATTTTTTAAAGTATTCTCTTTCTCAGGTTTAATTCTTGTCCTGATTGAAGCTTAAATATCTCTTAGAATCCATCACTAGTTTTAAAATGAATCAATTTCTTCGTAATTAAAATTTGAGATATAGCTTAACACAGACCAAGGTGCTCTCAATAATCA